CAGTCGCTCAAGACAATTCATTACATTACTAATGACATTGACTAAATAGAAACTTTTGGATTGTTAGCAGGGTGCGTTAAGCAGCTGTACACTTTTTACCATTTGACATCATGAGATGTTTTTGACTTTTAAGGAATTCCTCTGGGGCTTGGCTCTATTGACGTGGGATCAATTTCCTCTCTATCTATCAAATGACCACAAAGAATTTCCTGATCCCTGATAATATATATATACATGTAGTTTAGGTTCTGCTGAGACAAGAAGCTCACTAAATCGTTTAAGTCTTGCAAATTGATCGGCTCCCACATATCTTCAGAAGCAAAATAAACGAAGAAAGCTAAAGCTGGTTGATTTTTAATACTTGATAGGCTGCATTGCAACTTTTGCAAGCAAGTGGCTCTTTGATGTAGATGCTTCATTTTCATTTTGGTAGTCCTTTTACATGTTTACATTTATTTTGGATGCTAATGCAGAGCTTAAACCTGGGGAGCCTGTTCTGGATTGGCCTACTAGAAAACATGTAGCACTTGGCACAGCACGTGGATTAGAGTACCTACATGAACACTGTAATCCTAAAATTATTCACAGGGATGTTAAGGCTGCTAATGTCTTGTTGGATGAAGATTTTGAAGCTGTTGTTGGTGATTTTGGCTTGGCAAAGTTAGTCGATATAAGAAAGACCAATGTAACGACTCAAGTCCGTGGTACAATGGGTCACATAGCTCCTGAATACTTGTCCACTGGAAAATCTTCTGAAAAGACGGATGTTTTTGGCTATGGAATTATGCTGTTAGAGCTTGTAACTGGCCAACGGGCTATAGACTTCTCACGCTTGGAAGAAGAAGATGACGTCTTGCTGCTTGACCATGTAAGATGACAATCTCATATAATTCTTGTCATTTGCATTTTCATTCTCCCTCCCTCTCTCAATGTGTGTTCATATTTTTACTCTTGCAATCTGTCCATATTCATGATTTCTTGTGCACATGCATGTACCTGCACAAACACTAGTGTGTGTGTGTATATGTGTTTCCTATAACCTGAAATTTTATTGATATTGGAAATTTGGAAAAATTTTTATTGAGGTTGATAAACTTCATAGACAACATATCAGCAAACATCTAAAACTTATAGGTGCTGAACGTTTATTAATTAAGGTCCCCCGTTGTAAGAACAACTCTCAGTTCTCTTTGCATTTCTGCATATTCTTCCTCTCAGCAATCTTGAGCTGTCCTCCAATCACTTAACAGAAATAAATTGTTCAGTACAGTAGTGTCAGACCTGCATCGTTTCTATTAATTGTTACTTGAGAAGACCTATAACATTCCGTTGTATAAATCTGGAGCAAGTTAAATAATGAAAGCAAAACATTTGAACTTCGATGGTGAAAAGTATAGCCCATTTTTCGTTGAATGATTTAGAATTAAACATGAAGTAATTGCTTTCTAATGAGATCTTGCTGTTTTAGTTACTTCACTGATCATTATGCACATCACCTCAAAGGTTAAAAAACTCCAGAGGGAGAAAAGACTGGACGCTATTGTAGACTGCAACCTAAAGAAAAACTACAACATCCATGAAGTAGAGATGGTGATTCAGGTTGCATTACTCTGTACTCAATCATCACCTGAAGATCGTCCAGCAATGTCAGAGGTTGTTAGAATGCTGGAAGGAGAAGGGCTTGCTGAGAGGTGGGAAGAATGGCAGCATGTTGAAATCACACGGAGGCAAGAGTATGAGAGATTACAGAGAAGATTCGACTGGGGAGAAGATTCAATTTACAACCAAGATGCTATGGAGTTGTCTGGTGGAAGATAATGGTGGGCTGATACTTCTAAACAAGTGTGTATTTTCTTGTGATTGGATCTGTTTAATGAAGTACAATTTCAAACCATATTACAGAAAGCAATACGTGTTCATGGTTCTGCTTGCTGGTTCGCTTTCGTTCTTCTTACTTTTCTTGGTTGTCT